ACAATATTGCTAAATGCTGCAGATCTATGCACAGTTCAAATGTTTAAACATCACTTAATTCAATGAGATTTGATATTGCTTATATACAATATATATTCATAAGTTTATTCACATACATTAAAAAAACCCTTAGCAACCTAATTAACTTTTAGACTGAGTCATAACAGTTTTAAATTATTCACAAATATATACATATCCAAATTTGATCTTTAATACAAAACCATTAATCAGATGATGTTGTATTTAGAAATGGTGATAAGCTATTAAAATTGTTTTTACTTGCTGGGATAAAGAGCAGAGGTGGGCTGCTATCAGTTCGCACCAGTTCAGGTGAACCGGTGGTTAAGATTCTGTGCAGTTTGGTAAACCGGCAAATCCTACCACTGGCTGGCTCTGTCCCCGCTTGTTTTTCGGCCTGTTTTCCAGGCTGTTCTCTGGGCCATTTTTGAGACATTTTCAGGGCATTTTCCAGGACGTTTTCCGGGATGTTTTCAGCCTGAAAAATGGCCTGAAAACAGCCTGAAAACAGCCCAAAAACACCCCCCAAATGGCCTGTTTTTTTTTGTTTTTCGGTCTGTTGTTGGCTGTTTTTCTGCCTGTTTTAAGGCATTTTCCAGGCCATTTTGGGCCACTTTTCAGTCATTTTCAGGCCATTTTCTAGGCCATTCTTCAGGTTGTTTTTTGGCCCCAAAAATGGCCTGAAAACAGCCAAAAAATCTGACCAAAATACTGGCTGAAAAATGGGTGGGGCGGAGCCAGCCGGCTGAATCCTACCGGTCTTTAAGATGAGTGGTCAGGAGGCGGGGCTGGGTGTGATGTCACCCACCCAGTCACACGACCAACCGGCCATGCCTACCCAGCCAGAGAAACGGTTAAGTTATTCCAATCCACTGATGAAGGACAAAGTTACTTCTTCTGTTTGTTTATTTTTCTTTTTGTATTTTACTGTTGTTTTTTTGTGGCTTGTATTTTTAATTTTTTTTAATATATTTTATTTTATTTTTTGCATTTTTATTTTTATTTATAGATCTTAATAAATTTGTTTAAATAGTATTGTTGTTGTTAGAGTTTATACACTCAACTTAATTAAATTTTCATTTAGACACATTAGATAAATACATTTTACTCTTTACCTATTTACATGCAAATATAGGTTACCAGCAGCTTGGCAGCACTCTGAAACAGCCTGAAACTGCTCTTTCCAAATTTGTTCATACAGACTCTGGCTTTAAATACAGTATTAATGTCAGAGTAAAGAAATCTAGATGTTTCCTTGATTTCTCACCAGCTTCAGGTAATATTGTCCATAGCATCATTCTGGACTGGCTCAGGGCATAAGAGTTTCCTTTCTCCAGAATTGGCTCCAGTTGGTGTTGATAAGCTCTGTTTTGCAGGATCCCACTGTTTCTCTCCACTCCTATTTTACATTTTTAGGGAGCCACTGATCTGTAGTTATCCAATGGCACAAGATCAGGTATCATCATTATGCTTGGTCAGCCAGGGGTTGAGAGGTATAGCTGAGTGTTTTTATCAATATGTTGATGATAACTCAGCTGCACCTCTCAACATCAACCAATGAAGGATGCTCTCAAATTTCTTTCTCAGTGTCTGAAGGCTGTAGAAATTTGGACGGGGAATAAATAGGCTTAGGTTCCATTCTAGCAGGAGTGACTAACTGTGGGCTTTAGGATTCCCAAGCTGGTAATTTTTCACATTGGTTCTGAATGGGGTTGCACTCACAAATGAAGGCAAATATAATACAGGATAATATTGCAGGATCCAATCTGGGTTGGTCACTAGGAACAGAGTTTTAATCTTCTGAGCTTTCACCCTTGTGCTGGAGCCCATCCTCAGGGAACTTCTGTCCCACCAGAATATTGCACAGCCCAAATTAGAACTAGTGTACAACTTGGGGATAGTCCAAAATTATTGGATCCTGTTCAAAAGGTATGTGGTAGGCATGGCTAGGAGGGCTCTTGCACAAGATCATCTGAAAATTGCCTGGATTGGGAAGTCCAGCTCAAACATTTGTGTCCGGTGAACACCTTTTTGGATTACTGCAACATTACTGCTGTGCAACATGTGACTTCCTTAAGAACTACATGGTCACATCTGTGTACCCACTACTGTCCAAGCTATATTGACTCCCAGTAGGTTTCCTGGTGTAATTCAAAGTTCATGTTATCATCTATAAAACCTCTCATAACAATCTGGGTTACATGGGGGAACCATCTTTATCCAATTATTTCCGCCCATCCCACAGAGTGAGCATATGATAGGTCCCCTCAATCAAATAATGTCATCTGATGAGATCTACCTTGTCTGCCTTGTGGAAAGCATAAATCCTGGAAATTTGATTGGCTCTGATCTATTGGCCTCCTATAAGACTGGCTTTTTCTCAGACATTGGGGAGGATAGTTAGAGAACCTATTTTTTTAGAGGATTGTGGATATTAATATCCATGTTGCCTCTGGTATGATTTTTTTTCCTGTTTTCTGTTCATATTTTTATTATTAATTTTAATTGTTCAACATGCAGACTCATATGTTGAGTGAGTGGACTTATAAATCTAAATTCTTTACAAGCACTATCAATACATTTGGGCACAACATTCATTTTAATTCATTTAAAGGCAGGGGCACTTGGAGAAAAGACAACGTATACAGTACCTACCATTACGGTCTGTGGGAAATCACTTAAAATAACTTCATCTGTGATATTCAGATATTTCCCATGTATAGTCATCTTGCGACCTCCACTGGGGAAGGGGGGAAAACAATAAAAAAATAATGTTAAAATAGGAATTTCTTAATAAAAAAATCCAAAAAATCACACAATCTAATTTTCAGAGTTGAACACGAAGTACATTAACTCAGAATTTCAAATTTTAATTTCAAATAATCAGGCAATCTACACATTTCTGATTTCATTTCTGATTAAGAGCCACGGTGGCGCAGTGGTTAGAATGTGGTACTGCAGGCTACTTCTACTGATTACTGGCTGCCAGCAGTTTGGCAGTTTGGTTTCACCAGGCTCAAGGTTGACTCAGCCTTCCATCCTTCCAAGGTCGGCTAAAATGAGGACCCAGATTATTGGGGGCAATATGCTGACTCTGTAAACTGCTTAGAGAGGGCTGTAAAAGCACTGTGAGGTGGTATATAAGTCTAATTGCTATTGCTATTCAATTATCTTCTCTTATGGCACTGCACAAGGCAGACTGTTTCAGGCAACTTGCTAGTTATGGCCTTAGATATTGTCAACATTGGAAGTATCTACACAATAAAATTGAGCTTTTAACACAATTCCTGCCATATATAATTATGTTTCCAAAAACTGAATTTAAACATATATGTATTCAGTGCATTACAGAAAGAAGCATTAAAAATGTATTATTAAAATATGCATAAGATACCACAAAATATAAAAGGCTCAAAATGTATTTCTTAGGTTACTTTCTCCTTAGATTATATAAATAGCACGTGGCATTCAATACACAAGAGTACAAATAAAAAGGCAGGAGAGAAATGCTTTTTTTATTGATCAGTAATTTGTTACCCCTACAAAAATACACAAAACTTGGGACAATTCTACAACTGACTTGGCACATATGAAAAACTATCATATGTTATGATTTGATTACATAATTGTTTTTCATATATATATCAGAGTTATGTGAATTTGCTATGCTACTAAAGTGTTCTAGTAACTTGTAGTTTTACACTGAAAGAATCTGCTAAAAGAAACATAAAAATGTTTCCTGTTTATGAGGAAAAAAGTGGTGAGGAAGAGAGCTTTCTGTAGCAATGTTAGTGGTACAGAAAAGTTCGTTCTAGCATTTTCACCTACTTGCTCCTTTGGTATGGTAGAGGAATAATAACCTGGTCTCCCGCTTGGGCGGGGGGTTGGACTAGATGACCTACAAGGTCCCTTCCAACTCTGATTATCTGTATTAAAGGAAAGTTGTAAAGGGAGAGTGACAAAGGTCTATAAACTCAAATGATCTACTTTCAATAACAATGCTTAGATTAGACTATAACTTTCAGGTGCTGTAATCTTTTATGATAGTACAAATTAAATATTACCTCATCCAAGTAATATTTGGAAGGATTTTAGCGCATGATGGAAAAGAGACGTAATGTAGTGGAAGAGAGGCAGAACATTCAAACCCGTTTTCCTTTATGCATGCGCTCTTGACTTCTTTACGACTTGGTGGTAAACAGAATTTCATGTGTGTGTCATTTAACACTTTAGTAACATATCCCCTAAGGAAAAAGAAAATAGTGTCCCTTTTTAATGCATCATTACTCTCACTGAATATTCCTGCTGCCTGAACTCTTTTTAAAACTCTTTCACCTCTTCTGCATTATCTTCTATCTTTTCCTTAAAGGCTTAGAACCTCCCTTCACCTCCATGGGCCTCAAGGCTGTTTCTTATTATAAAATATTGTCTACAGTTCTTAATTCTTGTTGACACTCCCATTCACTTCTTTCTATTATTATCTTTCTTATGGAGAGTTGCTTCCTCTTTCAGCTAGCATTTCCTTTGCTTGATCTGATAAAACTTTATTCTCTTATCTAAATACTTAGAATGAAGATATGATAGATTTGTAAACTCCATCAGCACACTAATGTTTGCTCTCTTTGTTGCTTAACTCAGAGTGCTTCTTGGAATCTAACTGCCTCCTGTCATTGCTTGCTTAGCAGGAACAGGCCATCTAATCAACTACAGTATAATGGACAACTATCAGCTCTCAGTATGCATTGCTTGTAATCAGTAACTCTTTGGGATATTGTCTTGTTACTTTTCACAGCTGAATAAACAGTCCCTCAGAGAATTAGCTTCTCCAGAGACTTTTGTCCTTTCTTTGCTTCTTTTTTATTGGCGATTTCTCATTAACTATCCTTGTTTACTTCCTCGGTGTATTTCTCCTTGGAAAGGATTGCTATTCCTTGTACAGTCTCTGCTTACTCAGGAGGTATAAATCACCTACAGTGAGCAATCAGCAACCTTCAGGAGACACTCCTGGCAATCAACATTTCCCCCTTTACTGTTGAACAAATAATCTCAGAATATACAGTTTCTCTGATCATTCTTATATCTTGTCTCTTTTGCATATTGAAACTGTGGATGAGGTATACAGTAAATTCTAAGGATGACTATGGAAAATATGAATAACTACTGGGAGTCTGATGCCATCCATATTTAACTCTATATTTCATTTACCCTATATTTACAATTAATTTTGCTCATAGCTTTATGTCTTCATATGTATGTTTCAGACAAATTCAGTCCAATATTTCACAGAGAATGAGAAAGAGATACACTAATGGATTGTACTTCCTTATTACTAGCAAAATTCCACTTTGGGAGTTAACATGACAACAGAACAGTTTCAATTTCCATGTATAGGAGCTGTAAATCTATGTTTCTTAGGTAGACACTATCTGATTATATAGTACAATCACTAGTGCAGATGGTTTCAAGATAAATCAATATGCTGTTATTTTGACTCACACATCTTGTTGGCAGCTGCTGGTTCCAGTTATCTCCATCAAAAAATTTGATTTTGTAAAGTTTTCTCCTATGACTAGCACTTCAGGTTTACCTAATATTGACATGTAGTTCGGTTCAATGGAAATAATTTTAATAGGCTATTGGAAACAAAATAAATGTATGTTAACATATCTAGACAACTTTTTTAAAGTAACAGAATTGTGCATTTATAAATACCTTTAACATTCTTTTGATATTAATGGTTTGGCAGCTAATTTGGTCTAGTGGTTAAGGATCAAGTTAGAAAGCAATATGCCATGAGTTCAAGTCCCTGCTTAGCCAATACAGCCAGCTGGATGAGGAGTATTAATTATAGCAGATATATTCAAAAGATAGGTAACAAAACTAGATAGATAGATAGATAGATAGAGAATATAAATTTTTAAAAGTTACTCTTTTTCACTGAAATCAAGGTCTGCACAGAGGTGAGAGAATTAAGTTAGTTTATATGCAAACCAGGTTGTGTCCTTATTCTGTTACATCTGGTAAATGTACAAAGCCAGCTTCAAAATATATAAATATATATTAGTAGTTTACTTCTCATAAAACAGCCACATTAAGCTGTCAGTAAGGAGAGAGTCTGCCTATCTCCAAAGACAGATCCATGCCAAGAAGTTAAGGGATAGAGAACGTGTAACTTTCCAGATGTTGTTGATAATTCTCAGGATTATTTTCCATTGGCCATGCTTAACTGGGTTTCTGGGTAATCTTAACAAAGAAGTCCATCTCCAGTGTAAGATATAAAATACATATTTTCCTTTAAGTTCTAATATATCAGTTTCAATTTTTTTGCTGACCTTTGATGTTGCTGAATGATCTTTTTTGTTTAATGCATTGATAGTTGTACTACAATCAATCTGAAAAATAAATCAATAAAAACAAATCAATTTTAAAAAAATCACTTAAGGGAACAAATTTCATTAAATGATTTTTATAATTCTATAAAATCAAAACATCTTACTTTTTTGGCACAAGTCATAGAAGAGGTAACACATTTTTCTTCTCTAGCATTCCAGGTGCAGTGCGTATGATCACATTTTGAGCACCTATTAATATATATATATAAAAACAGAATATGTAGCAATTAGCAAAGAGAGAATCAGCAAAAGTGTGAACAATGGCTAGTGGCTAGGTCCTATTTATGATATTTACATGTCATAAATATTAAATATTTGATATTGATGATATCATATGATATTTATTATATTTATCAGTAACAAGCTTGACTATACTTTGTTTTACATTTATGAACTGTTTACATTTCTAATTCTTAATGATAAGTGGAATATTATAAATCCATACAAAACAAATTTGGTAAACGAATCTTACGTTTTTGATAAAGAACAGATGTCAAATTCAAATATTTCTGATAAATTCCAAGTTCCTGAGATGAATGACACTTGAACTGAAAAATGAGAAAAAAACACTTGTATTATTAACTGCAAATCTGTGTATAATGAATAACTTAAAAACAACTGATTTAAATATAGAGCTACAGGTTTCCTTTATATTGTGGTTGCTTTTGTACTCTATATTATTTATAGCCTATTTTTCAGTCAGGACTGGATGCCTGAAAGGCTTACAACAAGTGAAATACAGTACTAAAAAAATATGAAATGTCTTCAACAACAAACCTCTAAATAGATCACACCTCATTGTTTTATATGTCACATTGAATTAACAGTCTCAATAAAATGATGTTCTATGTTCTTAAATATTACAGTTAGATTACTTTGCACAGAAGCTCAAGTTATGGTACAATTGCATAGGGTATATGGATCTCACCCACTTCCGCATCCATTATCTTTACAATACCATTAATATAATATCTGGGACTATGAACTTGCTTCTATGAGCAAAATTTTTAAGACTGCTTACGTCAAATGAGTGGGAAGAAATCCTATCCCAAAGGTTCAGATATGAAAGAGTTAAAGAAAAACTGAAATTTAATCCATCAGTTAAATCTAACTTGTCCATGTAGATAATGACCAAAGACTATCAGGGCCTGGAAAAATCAAACTCCAAGGAGCAGGAAAATCCCCTTATTGGGGTGCTTTTTTGAAACAGAGTAGCAGAACTCCATCTTGTATTTTGTTCTAGTTGGAGTTCTTTCCCAGGGCTGACTGAATGCCACTTAAGACCCAATTTTCAGTCATTCTGTTTCTTTTAGTTTTTAGTTTCTTAAGCTAAAGGATCTGCATTTCTTATGCAATCAGGGCTTTCATCTTGACAAGTTATTTCTAGTATATTCCAGCTATTTAGGGAAGATAAGAGGCTTGCCATTTTCTGCATATGAATTGAAATTAGCTGAGAGTATTTTTTTTCTGGAATAACTCTCCCAAAGAGTTGTGGGAGGATTATGGGTGGAAGATCTAAAATAGTTTTCTCAATTTTAGCAGCTTGAAGATGTGTGGACTTCAGTTCCAGAATACTGGATGGGGAATTCTGGGATTTGAAGTCCACACATCTTCAAAAGGTTGAGAAACAGTAATCTAAAAGAACTCTACGGGAGCCAGGAGGTTTTATGACTTTTTCTAGTAAGTAGTATACATATACTTATATAAAGAATATATAGAAGAAATAAACTGCAAATGGATTTGCAGAGCAACTAATTATACATATATCTGCAATTCTTTTACATCTGCTATACATGCTGAAGCTAATAGATTTGTTTTCAGTCTTCTAGAACTTCCTTTACTAAAAAGATTTGATTAATATTAATTAAAATTGCTCTAATTGTATCACCACAAGATTGTATTCAGCAGATCAGATTTTATTTTTGCAGAATGCTGAATATTTAAAGCAACTTCCTTAAACTTGCATTCACAGGGTGTGGTTATGTGAAGGCAAAATGGATCTTTCATTTCTTTCAGTTTTATCAACCACATCTTCTTCTATTCCCACGCAATATCTACCCAGCCACATCTCTCTGTAACAAGGGTTCAAAATTTGTCTGCCAAAGAGGTACCCTTTTCTTTTAAGCAAAGTTGTTGAAACTCAGTACATATACATATTTCTAGAGGTGTGCATGAAGAATAAGGCCATAATAATTACTATAATTTCTCCAGATACCCAAGACCACAGTCATCCTCCAAATATATTGAAATAGTATCTTCTAGGAAATTCTAGAAAAATATTGTCTCACTTCTAATATACTTAAATCGCAAGAAAACACTTTCTGGAGAAGCAAAGTCTCCTGAGTTCCATCTCTAGGACATCTCTTCTGTTTATGCTATTTATCTCAGCAAAGTGATAATTGTTCTTGGTTGAACCACTGATCTTATACAGTCATTTTTTCCAGCATGATTTCTGTTTCCATACAGCGTATTTACAAAATCAGTGTAATATCTCCACTACAGATCTAAAGCATTCCCATAATGTAATATTTTTTCTTGTGTTGAGCCCCATTACAAAGAACTCAAGGTGGCAAACATATCCAACACACTTTCCATGTCCTATTTTCCCCACAACAACCCTGTGAAGTAAGTTGGGCTGAGAGAGAGAGTGACTGGAAAGTCACCCAGCTGGCTTTCATGGCTAAGGCAGGACTTGAATTCACAATCTCTTGTTGCCTATCTAGCTTGGTGCCTTAACCGCTATGTCGGGAGCATCCAACCTTTTGGCTTTCATGGGCTGCATTGAGAAATTGTCTGCACCATATAAATATATAATATAGTTAATATATATAAATTCACATAATAATGTTAAAAGTTTACAATCTTGTTAGGCCCCGTTACTAGCTGTCTAGGGCCACATGCAGCCTGTGAATGACAAATTGGACATGCCTGCATTAGACCAAATTGGCTCTCTTTTGCAGGTTGAAAATTGCTATCAATTTATAAAATACTTGGAATTAGAAGACTTTCATCATTATTGGGTGTCCTAATCCAATATACAACCAGGCAAACCCACTGAAAATACATTGTGATGGATAATTTATATATGAGAGACACCAAATTATTTTACAAAAGCATATAAATGAAATAGACAGAAGATGTGAGTAAATATGCCTTATGTCATATTTCATACAATTGAAAGATATGATCAATACTGCTGGAACTCTTTTAGATACCTTTTTAGGTACTTTTCTCCCTTTTTCTTTGTGTTGCTGTGAGGAGATTGAAGTTTTTGTTTCATTTAACAGAAGTTTATTTTTATGTCCAGATCTTAAGATGCAAGTGCTTATAGTGAAACTTCAGGAAAGTAGGATAATATTCTTTAAAGTTAATCACAATTTAGGTGTAGCACAATATTAAACTGTATTTAACTTTAAAAAATTAGTTGCCAATCTACTCTTATTAAAGGAAAGGAAAAAATAGATCTGAAATTTGTTTATATAATTATCAATCATTATTTAGCATTATGTTTGAACAAGACCTTAAAATCTATTGTTAATGCAAATTTTAGTTAATTATTATATTGATATTTACTACCTTTCTCTTAAAAATGTATTGTTATGGTTCATTCACTGTTAGCCATATGTTTAGATTGGATTTTGTATTTTTTAATCCATCTATCAGGTCCTTCTCCAAGGACCTGGGATAGGGACGTGTTGTTGTTTGATGGTATTAAAAGTATCATCACAGAATGTAAATTGTTCCAAGTAACTTCTGCAACTGTCTGATGATGATTTTGTCAATGGTGATGGTGTCCAACTAGTGGTCCAGATATTTTTGGATTGCACCCAAGGCACCTAGAACCATTGATGCTATCTTTGGGCATTTTTTTGGCCATAATCATTTTGTTTTTATTTGCAGGTCGTTGTATTTTGTGACACCCCCCCTCCCCAGTTCTTTTTCTTCCACTCTGCTGTCTCCAGCTCTTGCCATGTCCACTATCCAGCCTTTTTTGTATTTATCGACAATCGTTATGTTGTAGGTGAAACAAATGAGCAATGTTTTCACCCTTAAAATATAGTGGTATAGCATCATTCAACTTTACATCCAAACTCGATACTTTCTTCCTTTCTCATAACCTCTTTGAAAAAGAAAGTAAAAATGAGGCAAAATATGCACAGGAAATGAGTTACTATGTATTTCCCAATATGTTTGCCAGTCAACGTTAATGCAGTGTTGGTATCTAGCTGAGGTTGTAGAAGAGCACTGAGAAAAAGAATTATGCAATTCATTTTTGCCCATACATTTTAAAAGCTAATAGATTTATGCCCCCCACCAATTTTGAAAGAAAGTATTATAGCTGACATTATTTATTAATGGATATGAATGTACTTATAATTGCACTGATCTTAGAAGGCAGTTACAAAATATGTATGTCCATTTTGCTTCAATAAAAATGCAGGCAGGAAAGCAAGTGATTGAAAAATACTACTGCATAGTATGGCTGACTGTTGAATATGTTTCATAAAGAAATGTGTATTAGTTCTGCTAGAAAGCTCTTATAAATAATGCATAAGTAAAAGTATAATTATAGCAATGAATAATACAAAGCAGCCCAACAATAAAATGGCCATTCAAATGGACTGCAGATTTTTCACAGCATATGAGAAGGTTGATTTGCTTGTAGATTAACAACTTTATTTTTTGGAAATGTTATTCAACACTTAAGGAGAAATTAGAAATACAGCTGACCTTTCTTATGCATCTTACCTGTTATTATTATATTAAAGAAAGGGACTGGTGGATTTCCCCAGAATTATTTCCCTCTTTTTCCCACAAAATGTCAACAGCTGACATTAAAGCATCCATTGCTTAACATTGGATAAGGATAAAGTGATGAGTTTCAACATTCAATCTCCTGCTGCACCTATCATTTCTTTCAACTGCCTCACCCCTTCCACTTTTCTCAGATTGAGGATTTCCTTCCATCCTGCTGCACAGCTATCCTCTTTCCCCCTCCCCAGCTTCTTTTAAAACACAGATAGACACAGATAAAACACAGCACTAAACACAGGTTTAAAAGTAGCCTTGATAATATTGATATGGGGCAGGACATGTACAGTGCAGTGGGAGATTCAATCTCACTAAACTATAACACCATGCTGTATGTAATTTCCCTGAATGCCTGTCAGTCTACCATGGGTTTAGTAGTAGTAGAGTGCTAATCTTGTGCTTAAAAGCAGCCTGGTTAAGAGGAGACAGGCTCTTTAGGAAGACTTCATAGTGCAGATGAGTCTCTCTCCCTCTATAGCAGGGGTGTCAAACTCATGCCCAACCCTGGTTTAATGAAGGGGAAAATAGTTGAGATACATCAGGTAATGACAATGTGTCGTGTGAGTTTGATACCCCTGCTCTGTAATGTGTAGACAGCTGGTTTCTTTTGATTAGCTAATTTAAAATATGAATCAGCTCAGAGATCTGCAAGTAGTAGAAGGATAGAGATTAGACTGAAAGATCTGAACTCTTTCAGTCTTGCTGCCCAAATCAGAATGGCCCTGGAGGACAATACCCAGGAAGCAGAGGAGAGTGGCAGAACCCACATCAACCTAAAATATCTTAACCCTTCTAAAGTGGTCAAGAGAAGTCAAGTCAAACCTTTCTCTTGGGATCACTTTAATACACCCCTGAGAGGATGATTGGCAAAGCTTGTCAGTTTATATCCACTGCAACAAATATGTTGTGGTAAGAAGAAAAACCCACTTTAAAACCAGAAGAGTTAAAGATACTTGAAAGCTGCCTCAGATAATATCAAGGGATTAGGTCAGTATCAGACAGTGATAATGTTGCCAGGGGTGGTTAGATGCAAGTTATGGTGTGGTTAGATGCAAGTGAGGGAAGGCCCAATGTCATAAAGTGGCTCAAATATTGATTTTCTATCTTTCAGGAAACACTTAAAGAAATGAACCTCTGCCAGAAACACATGTTTGTAATCTGATTCATGTTTATATTAGCTGACATATAATTTAGATTCTAATGGGTGTATTTTTTTAAAGAAGGGTATATGGTTGATACTGGCTGCAAGAAGTAAACTAGCAAGAAGTAAACTAGTGGACAACCCATGAAAGTTTAACTATGATTCCTAATTTAAAAAAATTAGGCTGGGTGGAAAAGTCCATATTCTGTGGCATAATGGCCAAGGTCAGAATGCTAGATCTGGAACTAACTAAAAAGATTATAGTTGCCAACCAGGATTATGATTCAATTTATTTTAATCATCTATGTAGTGTGATCTAGGATTGAGTTGAAGAATCAGCTTCCCCCCACCCCATGTGAATATGAGCCACTGGGCACTCTTAAGGGCAGGAAAACTTGTTGACATCAGGTCTAGGACAACTTGCCATGGCCAACTTGCCACATGACAATTCATCACGGGCCACAGCCAACTTGCCGCGGGACAATTTGCCATCGGACAAAGGTTATATAATATCAAAAAAATTGTGAAATAGAATCATCAAAAAAATGATGCAAAAGGAAGGACAAAATGAAAGGTGAATGGCAAAAATTAAAATAATGTTTTAATTATTTAAAATAATTAAATAAAATTGTTGAATGTCCAGTGGTGAGTTTTCCCATGGGGAATTGGCTTCAATGAGTTGTCCCATGGTGAGTTGGACATCGTGAATTGGCAGCAGTGAGTTGGCTGTGGTAAGTTGTCTCATTCTTTGTATTTATCTCTAGCCATCCAGAAAGGCAACCTCCAGCTGTTTTTTCTTGCTCTGTATAGGGATTTTTTAAAAAAAATTACATTCATACTAGCAATGCTGTCTATGTTGTCTTCTGCACTTCATTTCATTGCAGGTAGCCCACTCTACTCCAGCTGTGATTCCCTGTTGCAGGAATGTCCACTCCCATCCTATAGCTGGTTACAACCCTTCATGGCCAACAACTTATTTTACATGTTCATTCGTAGAGAAATAAAAGGCTAGCTTTTTTTTTTTAAGTTACATGATAGAACATTGGAACAGTGAAATGGTGGGACTTTTTTTCTTTCTCTCTTTTTCAAATTAGGTAAAATTGACACGATATTACATTTTTGCCTTCTAGTCCAAGGCAAAATGGTAATTGTGCTCCTTCTGTCATTTCATTCCTGTCTTCTCTCCTTCACTCCCTTGTCAACTATGAGGAAGCTTATACAAAAGAATTGTTACTGGAAGCCATGTGTCCTTGAAAGCCGCCCTGTGTCACCGTTGCTTGCTTTCCTGTCAGGCATAGGAGGGGTAAAGAAGTAGTGGAATCCATCAAATATGGTAAACATAATATAACCATATATCAGGCCATCACCATGGCCAAAAGTAGAAGAAAGTGGAATCTGGAAAGGGCTTTCTTAAGCTGGCTTCACTTCCATGATTTAAGGCTGGAATGTGGAGTGTTTTTTTTCACACAGGTTTTTCACACATCAACCAGAGGAGCATTTTTAATAACTTAACTGAATTCATTGTTACATTAAGTAAAGCTTTATGATATAGCTGAATCTAAATGGGATTATGATGAATATGCAATATAAATATTAAATAATATTGTAATATAACCTCCCTTTTCATTGAGTTCAATCTTTAAGAGTAATTTGTATGTATAACTGGAGAAAAGATATTACAAGATATAGAAATATCAACTTACAAAGCTGAAATATAAAGAAACCCACCTTTCTCTGATAGATCTTTAAATGTTATATTACAGGAACAATTTAGATGGTGTTGATTCACATTACAAAGAATTTCATTGGTCCTTGCATTTAACATCTTACAATGGGAATGTGCTTCAGAAAGACCAAAAGAATTTACATCTACTCTCACATGAACCTAAAAGAATAAAAACATTGAAAACAATAAATTTATTCAGTGCTAATTATAAAATTGCCAATTTTATCCTGACAGTGAGGGAGGAAGTAGAAATCTGATGAAATCTGTGCAACTTTAATGATTAAATCCAAATAATCAACTACAAAACAGCATCTATCCAGATTTCCTTCCTTCTGTTCCCAGTTTTAATAATGATTTAGCATTATACAGTATAGATGCATGGCTTCTTTTGTTTAAAATGTAGAAAAAAATTACTTGAAAATTAAAGTACATCCCTATGATGATCATAGATTTAGAGAGTGCCAAGTTAGCTACACTGGTTAATCTATTTTGTATATCCTTTTAATACAGATGGATATTTAGAAATTTGAAAGTCATAAAATACAAATAGTATTGGTATGATAAGTACAACTGGTAGGAAATCTCTATGGCACGGGTTACTTTCTACAGAACAAAGATGTACTGTTCTCCAACAGCAGCAAAAATATTAATTAAATATACAATTCTGTATTACCATTATTTCCATTTTTATGTACTTGTGTTTAATTTACTGGATTGGATCCAAAGGCAAAGTATTATAATCATGACTATATATAGATCTGATCCATTATTGTACTTTTATTGGCACAATGAGAGGAAATTATAAAAATTACTGAGGGCCATTGATCTTACAATTGCACAACCCTGCAACAGGTTTCATTGGTAAAAACAGAGAAAATGGGCAATATTTTTATTCATATGGCCGGAACACTACAATAATGCAATATCATCACAGTCTCAAAATCACCATTGCTAACCATTTTATTACTATTACTCATTTTAATCTATGAATAGAGAATTATGAATTACATACCTTATTATTTTTGAGTTGAGAAGTGTAGATTTTCAGGCACTTATCTATGCCATATGAAATATTTACCCAGTTAGGTGAGTTACTAGAAAATGAACATTTTCCTTTTAAAGTGCAGCTGAAGAAAATACAAGTGTATTTGTTATGGAAATACTAAAAGATGTTTCGACTCTATATAGCAATTCACACTAACTGTTTTTCACTAGTCATTTTGAATTTTTTTCCTCAGCTCATAACAGGTTAAAAGGATGTGTTTTACATCAAATATGGTTTGGGGGTTCTACCCCATTTTAATTCAGCTATTTTTGTAAAAAAAAAGTTACTGTACTGTTTCTGCAAGCAATGTAAGCATTCCTAAAAAACAGATTAGCCTAATCAGATTATCATCCTCTGCTGCATTTGCTTATTGTTGCATATTGGTATTGTTTGGATTTTTATGATTCTAAAAATCATTTTACAAAACAGCTAAAACCAGGGCTCAGTGTAATGGCTTGAAGTTCATATCTGGAAAGTCCTAAATTTGAAATTTTGGGAGCCTATAGCACTCACAATTGCTAGCAGGGACTGGTAATCCCTACATTCTGGGAAAACAGCATCATTTTCTTTTTAAAGCTGGCATGCAAGCTATTTCTGGGATGAACAGCGTTATTTATTTTGCTTTGAAAAAACTAAATGAACCTTAAATGCAACTTCAGATTTCTCTCATTCGGGCACTTAAAAAGATCTTAAGCAAAGATCTTGCTTTGTTTGAACACTATTATTGAATCCAATATTCTTTGGAGCAAAGACATTCCTTTATTTTTTTCCTGAACATAGGTGCTAAAGAATGTCCATAGATTGGTCCATCTAAAAAGACAGTCAATGTGCAATAAATACTGAAATATATTTTGGCAGAAATTCATTTATAATTTTTAGGAGTCACATAATTGCAAAGTCTGAGAATCCCTGCCTTAGTAAAAATCCCTATGAAGCACAGAAATAGCTTTTGTGAAGCTTCTTCTCTGGCAACATTGAATTGTTAACTAGGGCATACAAAACCTTTGCCAGACCAATTCTCAAATACAGCTGGTCTACCTGGAATCCACACTGTATATCAGATATTAACACAATTGAACAGGTTCAGAGATATTTCTTGAGAAAAGTACTCCACTGTCCACTCACAATAGAATTCCCTATGCCTCCAGGATTGAAATTTTGGACCTGGACAATCTAGAACTGTGCTGCCTGAGGTCCGATCTAAGCATAGTACACAAAATTGTCTGTTACAATGTCTTACCTGTCAACAACTTATTCAGCCTCAATCACAATAATACATGGGCAAACAACTGATACAAACTCAAGGTAAACCGCTCCTAACTCAATTGCAGAAAATACATCTTCAGCAACAGAATGGTCAGTGCCTGGAATGCCCTATCCGACTCCATTGTTACAGTCTCAACCACTCACAGCTTCAATCTCAAACTGTCTACAATGCACCTCACCCATTCCTAAGAGGTCCTTAAAGGGGGCGTGCATAAGCTCACCAGCATGTCCCTGTCTTACTGTCCCCATTTATCTGTATTTACTCCCTTTGTTCTTGTTTATGTTCATCTTATACTTGTTATCTTGTATATGTATGACAAACAAACAAATAAATAAAATAATCTTTCTTTCTTCTTTCTTTCTTTTTCCTTCCTTCCTTTTTCTTTCTTTTAAAAAACACATAATTTTGAACAGGCATTCAGACTCTCCATGAAATATTAATTATGTTGTATTACAATATTAATACAAGGATAATTACCTTTTCTTTGTGTGACACCATCCACAGTGTGGGTCCATTGCAGATAAACAATCTCTGCAGGAAATATATTTGTTGCAATTTGCAACCTGTATTCTCCTAATCTAAAAAAAAATAAAAAGTATTTTTTGCAAATTCTTTATCAGCCATTCCAAGCAAAACAAATAATATTTTTATGAGTTTGAGATACACAAAAAAATAATAACTATTTTAAAAGTTATAACTCTTAAAAATATAGGGAGGTAGTCAAACAAATATGCCTCATTAGGATACTAGAATAAGGCGTGTTTTTTGGGTATGTTGATACCAATTTCTCACTTTTTCAGTCTTTTACAAATAACCATTTGTGAACTTGATTTGAACTTATCCTGGCTGGCAAAAGCTGGCTGACAAATAACAAGTCTCTGGCTGCTAGTTTATATTGATTCTGAGTTGATTCTGGAACGAATTCTAGGATTAAAAGAGAAACATATAAATTATAGCTGTTTTCTAATGATATGGTGATAATTTAGAAGATCCTTAATAGAAATATTAATAAAAATATAAATAGTTTGGGGATAATAGCTAGTTTTAAAATTAGCAAGCAAAAGATGAAGATGCTTACAAAGAATTTGAAAATGGAAAAACAAAGGGAACGGTTGGAAATAACTGGTTTTAATATTTTTCTTGAAATACGTATGTATTACTATGACTAGCATGAATTGTATTTTACTGCAGAACAATTATGTAAAAGCCTGGAATTAAGAAGGATATACTGAAATAGGAGAAATTACTATCATCTAGCATGCAAGGCAACTGCTGACCACGTGAAGCTGATTTCCACAAGTCTCATGAGAATGGGAGCCCTAGTTGGAGACCCAGCAGGCACCTTGTTCTTGTGATAGTTTGGAAGAACTTCCAAAGGGTTTCTGAAGCATTGAGAGAAAGGGAACCACTATTTGCACAATGCCGCAAGTGATCTGGAGAACTGGCCTCGAAAAGAAGGCTTGGCATAGCTAGCAGCAAGAGAAAGATGGCAAAGACAGCTAGGCACATCAGGGCCTGTACGGGAAAAGCAACGGAAGCAATGGCAGAGGCTTGGGGCAATGGCAGCTGGCTGAGACTACCAAAGTTTCAGGTCTCTACTTCAGCCTCAGGACTGCCATTGCTGCCGAGGTTTGTGCTACTGTGCAGGGTGGCCAAAAGGGTGAAAGAAGATAGGAGGGAAGGAGTTGAAGTGTCCCTGTGGTTATAAGTGGCTGAATTTTGATCACATTCGGTCAGCGTGGCTTTGGCCCGGTCTAGCCAGTGCACAGAGGAAACATGCCAGCAGTTTGGGGAGTGGGGTTAAGATGGCCACAGCCACCTAGTCAGTCATGCCCACCCAGTCAGCCACGCCCAGTGAGTGACATCAAGATGGCCATGCCCACCCAGTCAGCCATGCCTGGCTGGCTCCCGAGGTCAACCATAGCCCTGATATGACCCTCAATGAAATTGAGTTTGACATCCCTGTTCAAACATAATGACGGAATGTTTGGTGAAAAAGATAAAAGTAGTAGAAATGGCAAAATTGACTGGTTTGATTAAAGAAAGATTAACATCTACATTTATTAGTAGCTGGAAACTCCTTATGGACTTTTTGCTATAGAAAGAAAAAAATGATCTATGACGTTAATGATTGGAAAAAGTAAATTATGGAAACAAGAACACTTTGATGTAACTTTAGAAATAGAGGGTAAAATAAATGCATTTATAACCACTGTTAGGAAGATCGGAAACTGTGTCTTATAACTTTTATTTTTTTCTATTTTCTTTTCTTACTATTTACTACTTTTATTATTATTTTAATTACCATTCAATATTTATAGTCTTTGCCTTGTTAAAACACACACACATGTACAGTATATCATTAAACATACACACACACACACACACTGTAGCTTCAAATTAGTATAACTTTTAATTATTGTTTTAAATCTTATGAGCCATGTTCATTGCAGAGCCTCTATATTTTATTTGTGAACTGAAATTGAAATGTAGTGAGTTGCTATATTAATGTTTTAATGTTGTATTTAATTATTTTGTAGATATCTAACTACAGGCAAATTCACCTAGGAAACTGGCAAATTCACCTAGGAAACTGGCAAATTCACCTAGGAAACTACTGCTAAAATTCATTTTGAAATACACTTCTGGCCAACCTCTGAGTCCATTTTCCTATTTCTAGGAAGATTGGATTAATTATTGCTCTTAAGTATTTTATAGACTTAGAAAAACATATTTTTTTCAGATATCAACTATTTTAGGTTTTAATGTGGAAAAATTGTAATTGTGGTTGCTCATAATAATTTTTGCTAAACTCAGATGGTCTGTATTAATCCTATGAAATCATTATTAGCATTTCGAATCTCACCAGGCTCAAGGTTGACTCAACCTTCCATCGTTCCAAAGTGGGTAAATGAGGACACAAATTGTTGGGGGCAATAAGCTGTAAACCGCTTAAAGAGGGCTGTAAAGCACTGTAAAGCAGTGGTAAGTCTAAGTGCTATTGCAATTGAGCCTTTGACCTTCTAGTGTACAGTATTTACTCCATATCAATGAAGAGTTGGAATAATGCTAAGTCATCTTACACAAAAAAAGACTGATAATGTTGATGTCCTGGACCAATCACAATGTGGAATAAGATAAATAAAGGCAGTGAAATGGGGAGTAAAGTAAAAGAATGTGAATACTGCAGAATGTGAAAAGGGGCAATATTTCCAATATTAAATTACTAGGATGAGGTGACTCTTAGGACCTGATGGTGTAAGAATCTTCCAAAGTCCTCCCCCTACCCCACAAAAAAGATCCAGTGTGTAGTAATTTTTCATAATTCTCTAAACTTTTTCCATGGGCATTCCAGTATCCTTTTATCATAAAACTTCACTAGAAAACAATTTGAATATTTGCAATTGCTTTGCTGGCCTTCAATACTTGGCTACATGAAGTTTTATATACAACTTTGAAAACAGCATATAAATGGAATTCTAGAGTGTAATTTAGAATTCAACCAACCATATTATTAGATGGTAGATAGATGTAATTCTGATCCGTAGGGTCAAGTTCAAGCCTATGGAAAATGGGTGTTTCTTCCTTAATTTCATATAAAATTTCTGGACAATTTGGCTTCATTTTGTCATCAAGGACAATCTATAAAAACAGGATATATTTAATGAACATAAGCTTGCAAACAGTTTGGAATAGAGTTGTCCTGTACTCTTTTGCCACCTATTCCTCATCACAACTTCTTTTCCCATGTGGTCTTAAATAACTGTTGAGGAAAAAGATTAAGGCTGATTTTTATCTTGTAAAATTATTTAATAAAAAGATGATAGATAGATTACAGATAGATAGATAGATAGATAGATAGATAGATAGATAGATAGACAGACAGACAGACAGACAGACAGACAGACAGATATGGTAAATGATAGAGAAATAGATGATAGATAAATGATAGATAAATGATAGATAGATAGATAGATAGATAGATAGATAGA